GCACCTCCCGTTGAACCATCAGCGTGTAACCTTGAGCCTGTCTGAACACCATAAAAGCAGCGGGAACACTGATAAGATACTGCATGTGTATCAACAATATACAGTGTCCTGTGTGTGGTACTCAGTGTCCACAGCGATGTTAGAGCAACAACATGGGCTTTGGGACACAACAGGACACTCAGGTGGCTCATTCAGTTCTACCTGACTCCTCCATAGCTGGCTTTATACCAGCTCCAGTGTATCACAGTGGACGGCTGACTGCATGGTGTCCCAACAGGTTTTTATTTCACTCATTTGTCTGTGATGTTGACCAATAGGAACGCTCCGTCACTGGAGGCTGAAGGCTGGAAATCCCCCCAAACAAGTGGTGCAACAGTTTCTTTTTCTTTTCCAACACAAGACAGTCAGAACACACACAGACAGCATTGTTGGGTTATTTTAACGCTCTTGTTTTCTGAAGCTGATCCCTCAGAAAGCTGGACCAACCTGCGTCTCAAACCCAATCACAGCGAGGCTTTATGACTCCGCCGTCGCCCAGTCTGACACACTGACCACGTTATCGCTCACTAACACTGTAGCTGGACGTGACTCACTGATAAAGACTTGAATGCTGCTCAGATAGAGTTTCCTTCTTTGTGTTTTTCTTCCTCCTGACAGCAGCAGGTGTGTGTCAGTGTTCAGCAGACACAACGGGCCGGGCTGAGCCGGCGTCCACGTGGGCTGCTCTGATGCAAAAGCCTGGAGTTGTTGTGGACTTTAAAGACCTTTGGCTAAACAGAAGAACTGTGTTTTGTGCAGCAGCGTTTTTTAGCCTCAGCGCTGCTGCTGCTGTAACGTCTGTGTCGTCTCTTCACATTATTCACGTGCCACATCCTCCAGTTTGTCCTTTAATGCAGGACATTTATTATTAGACAAGTTATGGGACATTTTGTGTGGAATAATCAAAATATGGGCGCTGCTGTTCATCAGCCAACCCAAACACAGTCTGTATCATATATAAATAGTCTATGCAGTGTTGACCGTTACAATATATAGACGTAGGAGATATTAATAATGTCCCTCTGAGGTTTTCTACACCAACAGGCTTTAAACATGTTTTTAGTTTATTTAGTGTAATTACATATTTTTAATTTTCCTTCTGTTTTGATTTCTTTGTTTTGTTTGTTTCCATTTTTATTCCTTTTTTTGTGGAAGCCTCGGTTCTGTGGTTGTCATCTGCAAAATTGTTCAAGCATGTGTTGAAAATACCATTTGTGCCTGAAGATGTTATGAAACAAAAGACGGCACGGCAGCTTTTAATGAAATACTGTCGGAGCGCAGCAGTGTGGCGCCTTTATAAACCGTTTTCAGGGACGTGCATACTTTAATTTCCTCCAGTGATGTTTGTTATTAGTTATGAGACACTTCTATGAGGATTAATGCAACTCTGGCTGCTGCTATTCATGCTACATGCTACTCACCACACCGCTGTATGTTCTGGGCTTCATGTTTCTGACCTTCTTGCCAACAACTTTCTGTCTGCAGCAAAGTTCTTCAGGCGCCGACACCGAGATCTGACACCAGGAAATTCATCCTTCATATCCGATCACCGTACCGAGCCTGAAAAAACCGCTGAGACTTTGATTATTGTTAAAAAGTCAGACAGGAAGAAGTCTGGATGTTTGACTTTGACTGTGCAGAATGATGCCACGAGAAGACTGTTTATAAATGAGTCCTTAAAAACTCGTGTGAATGCTGCCGTTTATTAGATAATTGGTGATTTGAAAATAGCACTAATTGTAGATGAAAAACAACTTGTCAAATGCCAACAACAATGGCCACTGACACTGAAAAGCAAACTTAAATAAACAGCTGATACAAAAACATCAAGAACATGGGGAGCTGGCAAAAATGTACCAAAAAATCCAAAAGGTAAGAAAACAAAAGCATTTACTAAAACAAGAAATAAAGAAACACAAAAAGTCTCAAAAAACTAGAAGCACAAAGCAGAGGCAGGTAAAAAGGAGGTGAGACACGACAGGACAAGCTGACAAACACACAGACGATTTAAACTCTGATTTATAGAGACACAGATTAAACTAATGAGGCCAATCAACAGGGAACAGAGGGACAAATGAGAGAAGCTGTGGAGATAAACACTTCTCCACATCATCACCTCGGCAGATTCCTTCTCGGTGAGTCAGCACCTTCTTGTACGTAGAGTTTTGGATGCAACAACAAACTGGTCAGCAGAAGGCTGGAGGTCACTGTGAAGACCACGTCTATCAGCTCCCTTATTGTCCAGAAGCTGGTCCTGGTTATACAACATGGACAGGAGTCAGGAGGACGGCTGGCAGCTTTGAGTAAAAACCATCCAAAGTCAAACACAAGCTGTTGGTCTCAATCTGAGATGAGTTGATGTTTTTCTACATTGTGAGGTGAAGGCACAGCGTTTTGTTCCTGAAGGAAATGTGTCTCGGGCTCAGAAATCCACTAGAAGATGGAACACATGAGTTTGTGTAACTGTTTAGTTTGGTGGTGTGCTGCTGATACTGGTAGTTCACCAGTTACCACAAGTTCTGTAGTAAATGTATAAATACGCACCAATCGGCTCCAACAATAAAACCAACCAGGTCCTGCAAACAGCTGTGCATTGACAATAACAACTACCCACCTATGAAACACGGCAGTTTGCACGTGGATGCTGTGGAGCTGCAGACCAGTAGGAGGCGGCTTCCAGGTGAGCTGTGTGGCAGCAAATGACCGTGAACAGAACAACGCTGAGAGTTTAATTTTAGGGTGCATTCATTATTCTGCACAGCGTGGTGCAGAGAGGAGAGCGTGTCGTCTGAGGATACGAGTGGAGGTTGAGCTGAAAGTCTAAACTCTTTCACTTTAAGTCAGAATAATCGTCACAGGGATCTGAGGTCCAGTTGATGTCAGATGATGCTGAAGGTGTGGAAGCTGCTACTGATGGACCAGATGGACGAGGAAGAGGTGACGTTTCCATAAACATAGATGTGATGAATGGAGTTACTGCAGCTTGAGCTAAAAGGTTTTCATGCTGAGAATGTTGAGGCAAATTAAAGCACTTTACCTTGTGTTGATTTCTTCTTTTCTTTGCATCTGGAGCCCAAACATGCTGGACTGCAGCTCTTCAGGCGGTCAATCACCTGTTTATTTTTGGACCTCAGTGAGCAAAATTCAAGAACAAGTTGCCAGGTGGGAAAAAAAGGCTTCTGGAATATGAAAATGCAGTCTGATTTCAGATATTATATATTTCCATATAGCTTATAGCAGCACAACCACCGTTACAGACTCAGGATTCACTGATGCTGTAAACTGTTGTGAAACTCTGAGTCCTGCTCTGTTTGCAGGCTGTAAGGTATGAAAGCTGTCACCTCATCTGCTGCTTTGCTCTTCAGTGGGCAGGACCTAAGCTAACAAATTCACAAGTCTTTGTTCTGTATAAGTAAAAAAGACAGAAGAAGCATCACATGAATGTTTTTGAAAGCTGACAGAACATTCCTGTTCCCTTTACCTTAACCAGACTGCATTCTTCTTATTTTTTCTCCCCCTAATAAAGATCAAGAAATCGGCCCGTTTACACTGTGGTCACCGAAATATACATCCATCCATCCATCATCTCTACACCTTCATCCTCACCAGGGTCATGGGGGGCGGAGCCTATCCCAGCTGACTCAGGGTGAAGGCAGGTTCACCTGGACAGGTAACCAGTCTATCACAGGGCTACACTTAGAGACAGACAACCAAGCACACTCACATTCACACCTACGGACAATTTACAATCACCAATTAACCTCAGCATGTTTCTGGACTGTGGGAGGAAGCCGGAGAACCCGGAGAGAACCCACGCTGCACGGGGAGAACATGGAGACTCCACGCAGGAAGATCCCGGGTGTCCTCACCGGGACGCCAACCGGCGACCTTCTAGCTGTGAGGCCACGGTGCTAACCACTGAGACACCTGCAGCCCCCCCGAAACTTGTATGTTAGTATAAATTAAATCCAATCATAGAAACTGATCAGAATCAACAATAATAATCACTGACACCAGCTGCAGACGGGTTGTTTTGTATTCTGTGTGTGTATTTTGAAGCTCATTACTTTGACGATATCAGCTCACCCACATCCTCTGAGCCAGACTGCTCCACCAGGATGACATGAAAGAAATGAAAGAAAACAAAAACACACTCATGTCTCTGTTAAGAAAACTGCTGAAAACACTGTTAAAGGCGACTACGCAGAGTTAAAGCGTTGCTCAACAGCCTGTTTGACATGTTCAGTTAGTTTTGTTCCTCCAGGAAGAATAAAATGATCTTCTGCAGTCATAATTAGGATTTATGTTGACATCAACACTATTTTTATGTGGGAACTGGTGATTATAAAACTCATATAACGGAGAGGTTTTCCTCTAACAAAGAGTTCCAACAGATTTTTCAAAATACACAGAAAAAAACCTTTTAAACCAACACACACACACACACACACACACACACACACACACACACACTACAGTTCCCATGATGCTTTGGAGAGTGTAATCAGAGTAAACTGTTGGTGTCGTGCTACAACTTTTTCCACTGTTTTTGTTGTTAATATTTTTATAAGCAGCATTGAAACACACTGAATTAGTGAACAGTTGGATGTACAAACAACTCTCATTAAATCACTGCAATACCAAAAAAACCCATAAAACTGTGGTGATGCTCAGTCTGGTGCTATAACAAGCAGATTTTCTTTCTGTGATTTATATGCAGATTTATGGAGGTTTATTCATGGATGATAATAACAACATCCTTGGAAAGCATAAGTCTCACTGAATCTGCTGTTGCTCCGGCTTTAAGGAAACTCTGGGGAATCGATTTACACATTTTTAAAAAAAATTGTAAAAAACAGCAAAACAAACTAAATGAATGAAGAACCTGGAGTTCCTCTGCGTTTAGTTCCTTTGTGTTTCTAAGGTCTGAAACGAGCGACTGAGTAAAAAACAACAAGACGTGTGTTGCTTTTCAGTTTTATTTGTAAATGCATCTCGGATAGAACAAAGAAAATATATATATAATATATCCATATGTACTGAAACGTTATGTACACATTTTAGGGTTTCCACTAGAAATCTTCACAACCACTGATTTTGTTTTAAGATACGGTATCAGAATAGTCTCTGTGTGTTTCCTGGATGCAGCGATGTCCACTCCTGCATATTTACATACATTCATAGGATGCGATAAAACACCTGTGTTCACACAAGCATTACAAATTCAAAAATTGAATGAAAGGAATGATGTACAATGTCGTGTACCCCGGCTTGTCGTCACTCTACAGACATGAATTACACGTGGACGGCCTCGAGTCGCGCCCCTACATATTCACAGCGGGGCGTCGTAGCAACAAAAAAACTATGTTTGAGAGCGAGTCGAGCTTTAATTATGGCCTCAAAAGAGATGCTGTTGCCACTACATTTCCCAGAAGGCAGCTGAGCACCATGGTGTGTCCGTTGACTTCACCTCGACGGGGTGGAAGGCTGTCAGGGTGTTTCCAGTAACAGATAAAGCAGAGTTGAGGCAGATTTTGTGTCAAGTCATCAGCAAAACAACAGTTTAACGAATAATAGCAGATGGAGACGTTCAGCTCCACGGCTACGCACTGAATGACGTGAAATAAAAAGTCACCGACTCTCCAGCAAGGACTATGTGGTGCAGTAAGGCCCGAACAATGGTACAAACAGAAGACCAGCAAGCAGGTACACGTGACTTAGCTTCATGAAACGACAATAAAGAGCATTAACACTGATCAGAAGGCTGATTCAACAATCACTGTGCGCTTAACCGTTAAGTTGTGTTTATTCTTTCTTTTTTTTTGCATTTCTTGTGTTGCTCCGTGGTTCGGCTCCTCTTCGTCCTCCTTCCTCAGCTGGTTTAGTCCAGGTAGCTTATTGTGACGTTTCCCTTCACTTTGATATGCAATCAGTAGTTCGCATCCACGCAAGTTCGCCGAGTTGAAAGGTTCCCGCCGTTTCTGTGGATAAACGGCGGGAACAAGGCAGCAAAAAAATCCAGGACGAAGCCGCGAGAGAAACGTCTGTGGACGCGGCGGGGGGAAGTGCTACTCTGGTGGTCGCTGATGGAGATCCACATGAGCGTCAATCTCCTAAACATTGCATAAGATGAGGAATGTCCAAGACACTGGCAGCTTCAGGAAGATAAAAGGCAGTCGTTGTGATCCAGGTGGAACGGACACGCACAGGTATCACATAATCCAGACTGAATGAAAACAAATGGATCTGGAGACGAGACCAGAACAAACGAGGAGCGAACCAAAAGCACCAGCAGCAACAACAACCTTCATCATTTGTTTTTCACTTTGATTAGAATTAGAACAATCACAGACTGCTCAAGCACAAAGCAACGTGTGCTTCCACTTCCTGTACGCTCACGCCTCGCTGCCGTGGCCTGTATGTCTGTATGAGAGGGTGATCCCAGCGTTCCCAGTGATCCCAGTAATCCCAGCGATCGGGAGTGTCAGTTTGCTGAGCGAACCGTCCGGCTGCTTCGGGGGAAGCGGTGGACCTTGATGTGTTTTGACAGGTGGTCGCTGCGGGCGAACTTCTTCTCGCATACGGGACACTGGTAGGGCTTCACCCCCGAGTGGGAGCGTCTGTGTCGGGACAACTCGTCTGACCGAGAAAACCTGCAAGGAAGGAGAAGACAGAGGATTTATATTCAGCAAAGACAGTTGGAGAAAGACACAAAAATCTGGAAATCTTAGACTTTAGTTCCACTTTGACTTCAGCTTTTTGAGTTACGGAGACTAAAACTCACATCATACAAAAAGTTTGCAGCAACTTAACTTTAGTTTTCTTTGCTAACAACTGACAGGAATCAGAAACAAGCATTAATTTGCATTTTCTTCCATTAATTTTCCAGCTTTGTCCCGTATCTACAAAAAGTGAGACGGGCTGGACCGATTATCAGCCTGGCTGGTTGTCTGGTCGACACCTTTCCTCTTGTCTGTATCGTCATTTTATTTATCTATTATCAATTAATTAAATGCGCTACATTGAGTCGGATCAGAACCATTGATCCCCGACAGGAGGCTTATGTTACAGTTACTCTCATTCAAAGTTTCAAAGAAAGTTCAGCAGTACAAAAAATCCACATGAAGAGAAACACGAGTAGAAAAATACGTCCTAAAGGTACAAACATGAGTAGAACAAGTATGAGCGTAAAAAGTTAAATGAGTGTTGTTCTAATACAGTGTAATAAACCATCAGTATAAAGTGTAATAAGCAGTAATGCGGTTTTATGTCTGGTGCTTCACAGAGCATCAGTTTCTGTAGTTGTTGCACATAATTGAGTGTTAACTCAAGAAGTGGAGTGAAAATGAGTTATCTGCGTCTCTCCATGTCTGTAATCAGTCTGTGGTGTCTGAACAAGAAACTCAAGCCGTCGCCACGAACCAGGAAATTAACGACTTTCACAGCGGCTAATGCTACGCTAACGGCTAGCGACTGGAGGAAGCTACAGATTACCCTCAAACAGTCTGAAGAACAGTAACTTATAATGCTTTAGGTTTAAAAGTGATAGAACAGCAGGAGAGAAGCTGTAATTGATCATAATCAGTCAATCTGACAGGAAGGCATGATGCTCTGAATCCTCAGACGTCCACATGCTGCTAAACAGAATCAGTGCCACACATGGCCGGTCTGGATCACCAATAATCAGCATCTGTCCAGACAAACCAACATGGATTCCTATAAGAGACGTCCCTGTTTTTATTTTCACAAAGGTCTTCCTGCATCCAGTCTGCTGTGGAGGAAACCATTTGCTGCTTTGAACAGACCAGTTACTGTGGATCTGACAGAATGGTTGAACTTTAGAATAACTGCTGGTGCCGGTGTGAGGAAACTTCACAGCATCCGTTTATGATGCAATCACAGACGAACCTTTCTGGTCGGCTGTTTACTTCTCCTGGTTTCCCAGCAAACTTTTCTCACTAAGCCTCACAGATTCAACTGTATAATTATTTCTCACAAAGCCAGAACGCTTCACATGTTGACGCGACAGCTCATTTGCCTGCGACTCGTTTGACAAGCAAAGCGTCGCAGCAGGATTAGCGGTGGAAGGAAAACGCTACTTGGCTGCGGCCACATGGACGACAGCTGCCGAGCTTCTTCCCACCAACCCACTTCTCCGACACTGTCCCCAGCCCAGAGCTCTGCATCCCAGATGTAGCTCTGCTGACCTGACAACATGATGAATCGGTACAATCGCACCCTGTAATTAGGCAGCAACATTTAAGGAGCTGCATTAAAGAAAAAAACAAAAAACCTGTGCACTCTCTGTGATGTGAAGCGTACAGCGACGAGCTGAAGACACGCTGCTGCAGTAAAACGAGATAAGATAAAACAGGATTAGACTTTATCAACCCCGACGGAAACGCTTGTGCCAGATATTACTCAGAACAAAAACAAATGACATAACATAAGAACGGCGGGCCGAAAAAGTAAGAAAGCAGGAAGATATATAGAACAATAGGTCAATGAAATAAGCTAAAATAAGACTAGAATAGAACAGAGAACAGTAAAGGTAATGCTGGCAGTTATACTAAGGTAATATCACACATGATAATGAAATATTGCACCTGATAAATGAACACATGAAATAGTGCACATGAAATGAAATGCTGCACATGATAGGGAAGCGGATACTGCAAAAACTTTTGAAATTATTGATATTATTCTTTAGATCTAAGATGTTCTTCGGTGTCACATGCAAGGATAATTACTTAAAACATCTGACAGCTTGTTCATACATGCCAATAAAACCAATTCAGTCCTCCAACAGCACCCTAAGACACGTAGACAAAGTGATCACGGTGACCTGATCACACCCGTTTCATCGTCTAACCAAAGCAGGGAGGCAGCATCATCATCACAGGATGGGATGAAATATCACAAGTGAGGATAAAAGAGCGCAGAGTGGCTTCACCAAACCCTCCATGCAGCTGTGTGTGTCCAAATCTGAAAACTGTTTTGTGTAAATCTGTAAAGTGAATCACTCTCTGCTGCTCCTACATCTGGTTTGGATGTGCTGCTGTGTGAAATGACAGAGACGGGATTTATTTAAACCACTTTCAGTCTGAACTCCACCACACTTGTTAGAATGTGAGCTAACAGCTGCAGCTACATTTCTTTAGATTTGAAAAAAACTAAACATCTTTAACATCCACATTTCAAACTGAGTTCATATAGAAAAGCTGGATGGCGTTGGCACATCTGGCTGAGCCGACAAGAATGAGCAGCAGAATGGCAGTTTTTTATGGAATCACATGTGGCATTACTTGAAATAAAAAAAAGCCATAAAATATAATATAAATAACTGCCATAATAAGTATATAAACATAATCTGTAAACTGGTGAACATGGACTCCCCATAAGCCAACATTTAATAAGCTTCGCTGCTTATAGAGTAAAACATTTAAAATTGAAGTATCATCAAATATTGGTAAGAAGTTTCAGCATTGCAGGCTTTAAAGAAACGCTACCCCAGCTCCTGATGAGCTTCACTGAGCTTCACTGAGCTGATGTGAGGTGATGTGAGGTGATGTGAGGTGATACCAGGTGATGCCAGGGACACCAGTCTGGCTCGGGTTGGTCCTGATCGTTACTACGTTACCCACTTCATAAATGTGTTTGTTATTCTGCCTACACATTTATTTATATCAAGCTGGATGAAGTGGGGAACTCCGTCGTTTACAAACCAAAACCCGGACGGACGTGAGTCACTTTCCCGCGGTCAGGGACGGGCCGTTGCCATGGTTACCCTCTCTCTGTACCTGGATGCTGCTGCCTGACTCTGCTGTAGGACTTCCAGCAGCTTTCTTCACCCTTTTTATTACACTTACTTTAGTGGCTCACACATGCAGCAGTAGCTCTTAAATGACTAACATATAGACTAGATATCGATGGCAGTGTATTTGTTTTCTGCGTCCACATTTATGCACAACGACCGAGCTCAGATATTCTTCCTTCAACATTAGCATCGAGCCTTGAACAGAAACCACAATCTGAAAGAGCTGAGCCGGGATGCTCTGTGCAGCCTCACCGTGAACTACCATCATCTCTCTTCTCACTTATCATCAGGCCCAACATGTTCTGGTTCTGCCGTCAGAAAGCGACACAAACATGACGCGATTGCTTTGAACGACCAAGGACTCCTGTTTCCATAGAATCAGAGGATAACTCTTCAGATCTCTGCAGAATGTGCTCAAGAATGAGACGGAGTAATTACCTTCAACGTGGCCTCTCAGGAATGCCTTTTTTCTCCATCAGGGTTGTGCTGCACTATACTGAACGTTTTATTTGATGTTTGATTCGTGTTTCATTTGCTGTAGGTGAAGAACCTTAACTGTCAGCTGTCATGTTAACCCGGAATGAAGAACATCAGTCCAGCTGATATGAGCAGCAGCGTGGATCTGATCCACTCTCTTTCTGAGCTCCATCATCACACAGTAAAAATCCCTCCATGGAAAAACAATGAATGAGTTGTTGCTCGTTGAACCGACGCCTTGAGCGCAACATCAGCTGTGGGCTGGACCGGGCAAAACCAGAACCCGGAAAGTTCACTGTGTCTCGCTTGATGTTTGGTCATTTGTGGAGGGAAACTAGATTTAAGATCTTGATTATTTTTGGCTGCTGCGCTCATGGTGCACATTCCAAAATAAACTTGTTGGGAGCAGCGGTCAGCAGAGGCCCAACAGCAAAGCTTTAGCTGGTTCTGTCCAGTCATAGTTCTACTGGGTTAATATGACAGTTTATAAGTTGTATGAGTTCTCACAGCATGATGAGTTCAGTTCAGCAGCAGAACACTGAGACAACCACGAGATGCTGTTGTGGGACTAACAAAGCCGATCACTCTCATATCTTCTGGGTTTTGTTGGGAACATCTTCTTAAAAATGTGAAACTACGGTTAAATGAGAAAAAGCAGAACCAGAGGAATGGACTGAAATTCTACACAAGGATTCAAAAAGCTGACATTTTCCAGATGAGTGGAGAAAATTAAGTTTTATCAGATTTGGACTAAATGGACTGAGTGTGTAAAACCAATAAGTTCTCACCTGTAACTAGATACAACAGGATCTCTTTACATATTTTACATATTCTTCTTTTTTTTGATATGTGGGATGTGAAGATAATTACAAAGAATAAACTCCCTGTTTTGTTCCTCGTATGCAAAAACTATTTCAAAAAGGAACATTTCATAAAAGCAACCGTAACAACGACGTTCTTCAATGTTGTAAACACGATACGCTGTCATGCTCTTTTAACCCGAAACAAAATCTGAAATTAGAAATCTAAACTAATCCACCTGAAAAGACCGTTTGCACGCTAAATTTAGTCATATTGGAGTGACAGCGCTGCACATTTGAATATACAGTACAACGCTGGGTGCAGCCGCTCCCTCCCGGTTCCTCCCCGTCTACATGAGGAACCTCGCCTGATCCCTCTCTTCCCTTTCATGCATGGTGGCAGCCTGGACGTTCCTAACCCACAGTCATGGTAACTATTCAACACTTTGTCTTTGTTCGCTCCACTTCCTCACTGCTGCTCCCTTCAACTGATTGTGTGCAAAACTGAGACAGGACTTTTTTTT